TTATATATAATAATAATAATACTCTCTCTCTCTCTCTCTCTCTCTCTCTCTCTCTCTCTCTCTCTCTCGCGCGCAATAGATTTACAATTCATAACTATTATCAATATATGATAAAATTTGATATGAAAAAGTAAATAACACATTTAAAATTAATTCATTTAAATATTCAATTAAATATTTTTACTATTCCTCGTATTAAGAAAAAAAATCAGAAGTTAAAAAATTTTTAATATTATATAATAATAATTTAACATAAAAATTATTAAGTATTAAAACATAGTTACTTTAGCCGTATATAATACAAAATTTCCCTAGTAAGTAATACTATATTATAACAAATTATTACATATGAAATTTGCAATTTTTATTTCACAAATATGTTTCACAAATATAACTATTGAGAACTATTTAGCACTTAAATATATTTTTAACTAATATTAGATACATATCAATTTAAAATTTGAAGTTAGTTAAATAGGATTATTGTTTCAATTGTTTTATAAAAAAAAATTGTATAACATATTATATATTAATTATATATTATAGTATATTATATTCAACGTCAAATTCGAATACAAATTCTTATACAGATTTAAAATTCAAATATAATATGTATAAAAAATTATTTAACATTAATAAAGTTTTCAAAAAGGTTATATTAAGAAATAAAGTTAATAAACAACGTTAATAAACAATTAACTATTAAAATAATTTAAAATTGGCAAATATATAAAAAAAATAGTCATAAATAGCAATCAATTAAAAATTTTAATTATAATAATATTAACTTTAATTTATTTATTTTAATTTTTGATGTGTGACAAATATTCGTTTTTTGATTTTAATTGTATATTAATTTTGTTTTTCGATATACAAATATTGAATTTGTTGAATCAAACTCTACTATTATTTTCACATAAAAAAACATTAAAAATCTTATTAAAAATTTAGACACTATACAATCTAATGAAGAAGTTAATAAGAAGGAGTTAATAAGATACAAGAATAATAAGAAACAAAATGAATAAGTATAATAATTAATTAATCTGTTATATTTTTTATACGATATTTTGATAACTATTTATACCATGGAAACATGATCGTAAGAATTCGAAATACTTTTTTGGAATATCTTTTCTTTTTAAGCTGTTTTTCCATTGGTTGCTTTTGCGCGGGTTAAATATCCTGTGCACTCAGATGCGCATAGCACTTGCTAAAGTTTTTTTATATAAAGTTTTATTTCAAAATTTGAAATAATTGTAAATTGGCTAATAAAGATTTTATTAAAATTTTATTTTTTTTAACATATTTATTTCATAATTTTATTATAAGATGGAAAATGATATAGAAAATATACTATCAAATAGTGATCGTACAATTCATACAATGTATACTCCTCGAACAAGAGGAAGACAACAATTTAGTTTAGGTATTAGTTCTGCTCCAGCAGAAGAAATTGAAGATATTAATACATTACAAGGTACATTAAATATAATTGTTATAAGAATTATAAATGAACTCTGTGTTTTTTATTTTAAATTATACTTAATATAATTATTGTTTTAAAATTTGTTAAATTGTAATATTTATATTTTACAGAATTATTAAATAAAACTTGGACTATTTTTGGGGTTTCTACTTTATTTAATTTTTATCAAGATGAAATATATTTAAAACAATATGCAAAAAAATTAAGAGAAGAAGTTGCAAATAATTTAATACAAGAAAATGTAACATATAATACAGAATTTTGTATTATGGAAAACATAACATTAAGGCCTAGTCCAATGGATCCACCACCAATAAAGGTAATAATAATAATAATAATAATAATAATAATAATAATAATAATAATAATAATAATAACAATAATAATAATAATTTAGAAACATAATAAAAATTATATAATAATATAATAATATTATAAATAAAATATTATAATAAATATTATATTATAAATATAATAAAAATTACTTATTGATATTATTTATGAAATGTCATTGAAATTTCTTGTTTTTACTCCAAACTAAAATAAATTTATTATTTTTTATTATATTTACAAGAAAAATAATTACAGATTGAAGTTTATTCTGAAAAAAGTAATAACGAAGAAAATTCAAAGAAATGTATATATAAAGGAATATTTCTATCATGGAGAACTACTAAAAATACATTAACTGATAATTCTATAAGATTACCTCTTCTATTATGTCGTAGTACACAAGGTACTATGGGAATTGTTCATACTATTTTAAGTCGTATGTTTGATTGTATGATTGTCACATTATCTGCACATGAAGATGATTTATTATGGCTTATTCCAATTGTAATTACTCCAACAACTAAAAAAGAACAACCAAAAAGCAAAGATGAAATTCATATGGAATATAAAATACCAGAACTACCAGATACAGATACAATTACAATAAAATTTAAAATTTTAGATTTAATAAAAATATTAACAGTGTATGTGTTTTTATCTTTTAAAATTTGTAAATATTATGTAGGAAATATAATTTATAATATTCAAAATATTTAAAATTATATAATATGCATAAAAATAATAAAATGTTTTCTATTCCTATATTAATTCTTTTTTAGAATTATAAAGGATCAAAATGATGAAGAAAATCTTGAAATGACTTTCAATTTAGAACATATAGAAAAATTTCGTGAAGTTTTATATTCTCAAATTTTAGAACTTGCTGCTTTACAGTTGGGATTGTGTACATTACATAAAATTCATCTTCCAACACTTACTATTATGGAAAATAAAGTAAATAAATAGTATTGTTAATTTTTATAGATACATTTACGTTTTTTTTCTTTATAAAATACATTATTTTTTATTTTCAGATGAAAGTAATCAGTGCAGATACTATGAATCGCGTTTTGTTATATTTAAATGAAAAAGCTCTTGATATGTTTCACACATTAAATATTGAGATGTAATCTGTATAATATATTTTAAATTATTGATGTTAAATTATTGTAATATTAATTTTAACATAATAATTTGGATTAGTATATGCAGTTTTTATATCATCATATGTTTTATAAATTTATTTGGATTTGGTATAATTTTTTTAAATATCACAGATTGTATAAAATATTAATGTTAGATTTCAAATACTATTACCAGTAAATTTGTACAACACAAAAGTTACATTCATAAAATATACGTATTATTAACATCTTCAATATGTCAATTATAATTCACTTCCTTAAGAAGTTCGTTTATACAAATAAAATAAAGTAAAATTTTAGGAATTCTCATCTGCAATATCCATCTAGAAGTAAAAATGAATAAGTAATAAAGTAATTAATATTTACTTTTCAAAATTAAAATAGATAAACTCACTTGATTTTCTGATTCTTCTTTTCTTTTTTTAGCTCGACAATTAAGAATATAATGTACAAAATCTATATACCCATCAGGTTGTTCATCAAGTGGTGGTGGTACAGAAACACCAAGTACTTCCGATAACATAAAAGGTTTTAACCACGTTACAAGTGGAGTACGACCTTTAGTATATTGTCCATCTTTATGGTAAAATAGTAAACCATCTAAGGGATACAAATTTGGAAGATTTGCTAATGATAAACTTATATCAGTATCACAACTGATATTTGGTAAAGATAACATGGGAAAACTATTTTTATATGTATTCCTTTTGTGTAATTCTTCAATTTCTTGTAATTTTGATTTTAACCAAAAAAATCTAAATTCAGTCTAAAATAAATAATTTTTTTTAATTTTACAGCATTATAAAATATATAATATATATATAGTATTATATAATTTGAAAATAAATATATTTACATCACAATTCATCAATGATTGATTAGACCATGCAAGTACATCTAAGATGTAATATATTTTTTGTTGTTTTATCCACAAACAATCAATAATGGTACAACTACTTCTATGTTCAGATGGATTACCACCAGGAAGTGCAGAATAGAATTTACCAAGACGATTACCTCGTTTATTATATGCTTTAGTTATACCCTAAAATAAATAAAATATAGTAAAAAAAGAATATTTTCTATTTTGTTTCAACATACTTTACATGCAACAACTAGAGTTCTTTTGCCTTGAGGACAAGGAACTATAATCCATTTTCCTAAAAGATCTTGAGGTACTTCCAACATCCATTCAGACATCATTAACTGATTTGCATAATATTTCGTTTGATTAAATTGGCGTTTAAAAGAGTGATAGTCTTTTTTATTCGTTTCCTCAATTTCTAATTCTTCTTCACATTCTTCTTCAGAGTTAAATGCTTCTTCTAATATTCCTCTTCCAACATTAAATGCTATGTCTCTACATCTAATAATATATGTTATTATTTTTATTTTTATAATATCTTATATAATTTATATATATTTTATAAACTATAACATAAATACATATTAAAAATATACTTTTTTTGAAATTGTAATAACCGTCGACGTCTTATTTCTTGAGAAGTATCAATATTATCCACATCTAAATTATAATTGTCTTTTTTAATAGGTTTTTTGTAAAATATAGCACGTGGATTGCTATTTTCTTTTTCATGTATACCTATTAAATTATCTTTCATCTCAGTTGCCATAATTGTATTGATATTTGTTATATCTGAAGAACTGAATTATACATAAAAAAAATATATTTATTATAAAATAAAATTATTTTATAATATTTTTATTTTTAGTTTTAAATTATTTTTATTATATATAATCACTATTAAAAAATATCAAATATATGATTTTTGCACAAACCTTTTTATAATGATATTAATATTTTATTTATAATGATAATGATATTTTCTATTCAATTGAGATTATAAATAAATTCAAATGAGATTTAATAACAAATGATCTTATACATTTTATTCGTTATAAAAATATACCTATGTTATTGTACATTTAATGCATTTTTACGCATGCAAGTAGTTAACTATCATTCATGTATTATAGTAGTATTAGTAGTATTAGTAGTTTTTTTTTCGTGTATGTTTATTTTTTATTAATGTAACCAATAATATTTCAATGACTAGATTTTTCTGTGTTATACGACAGCGTATTATATTGACAATAGCCAAACATATATTATAAACAATTATTACTATTTCATCTACTTAAAAATAAAATATATTTCCGTAAATTTATATATAATAAAACTAAAGCCAGCTACACATGTTTCAATAGACTTATAAGATCCAATCGTACAAATATAGCATAGATCTACTAGAAAATATATATAAGATAAAACTGTAATTATTTAACATAGCTATTTAATTAAAGCAAATATGAAAAATTATTCAATATATTTTAGCTAAAATGTATTGCAATGTTTATCAATTATCAAATCAACTTAATAAATAAAATTCATAATTTAGTGAAGTATGGTTTAACAAAAATACATAGAAAATTAGAATTTAAAAATTTATAGGAATAAATTTTACATATAAATTAATAAAATTACTAATTTCAATCTATTTTCTTCATTTATTTTTAAATAATTGTATCAATTTAAATACAAAATTTCTTTAAATACAAAAATTATTTACAGCTTTGTATATAAATATAACTTTCTTTAAAATATATATTTTATTTTATTTTTCGCTTAAAATTTTTTTAGTTAAATCTACAAAATATTTGCTGATATCAATAAAATTGGCAATTTTGTCGACATAAGTAAATGCATTATGTATGAATGCATTAAGTATAATATATATATATGACAGATACATCTATTTGACAAGATCGCATCGTACTTATTGCAATTATTTTAGAACGTATGTAGTCAGTTTAACTAGAAGCAGAAGTGTAAAGTTTAACATAATTCAGTATTTTTTCTAATTTTATTTTGCATAAAAGAATGTCAAAATAACATTTTGATGTAATTTATAAAATATTTTTCTCAAAACTATTATTATAGTAGTAAAATATTAATATTTTAATAGTGTAGAAATGATAGAATATTTTCTAACCTTCAACCTAATTATTCAAAAGATAAATAATACGTTTTAAAATTAAGATTTAAAAAGAATTGACATTTGCTATAGAATTATTATAAAATATATAAATATTTTTATGATTTAATCAATATATTTTTAATTATAAATAATAATGGATGATCAACAATTAAATAATTTAATTAAATGGTTAGATACATTTGATCTCCAAGGTTCTCATTCAACTGCTGAAGATATAAGTGATGGTGTTGCTTTAGCAGATGTTTTAGCTCAAATTGCTCCTGAATGGTTTACTGCTGCTTGGAGAGCAAAAATTAAAACTGATGTTAGTTCTAATTGGCGGTTAAAAGTTAGTAATCTTAAGAAAATAATTGAAGCTATAATGGAATATTATATAGAATGTTTAAACCAACAGTTATCAGGTTATATTAAACCTGATGCAACTAAAATTGGTGAACATTGTGATAATCATGAATTACGCCGTTTATTACAATTAATTCTTGGATGTGCAGTTAATTGCAATCAAAAGCAACAATATATAACAAGAATTATGGGAATGGAAGAAACTGTTCAACAAGCAATTATGCAAAGTATTCAAGAATTAGAAAGTAATATGCATGGACCAAGACTAAGTTTAGGTACTAGTCTTAATTTTGAATCTTTAGATGTAGCTGATGGTACTCAACAAAGATTATTAACAGAACTTCAAGTAACTGTTGATATGAAAGAACAATTAGCACAAAAATGTCATGAACTTGACCAACAACTTTCACTTTTACAAGAAGAAAAAGCAGCATTAATGACAGAAAATAAAAAACTTCAAGAAAGATTAGATGAATTTGAAAATCCAGAATCTTGTTCTATTTTTAGACATTCTGGTCTCAGAAAACAAGTGGAAGCATTGAAAGATGAATTATTTAAAGTAGAAACATCTAGAGATGATTATAGATTAAAAATAGAATTATTAGAAAAAGAAGTATTAGAATTACAATCTAGACAAGAAGACTTACAAAAAACAGCTGATGAGGCTAATAATCTAAAAGATGAAATAGATGCCTTAAGAGAAACAGCTGATAAAGTAGCAAAATATGAACAAACAATAGAATCATATAAAAAGAAAATGGAAGATTTAAGTGACTTAAGAAGACAAGTTAAAATATTAGAAGATAAGAATTTAGAATATCTACAATCGAAGATAGATTATGAAGAGGAATCAAAACGGACTACAATGCTACGTAATCATTTAGAAGTTTGTAAACAACAACTTGCTGAAGCACATCATAAATTAGATGAACAAACTAATAAATGTGATAAACTTGAATTTGAAGGGAAAAAAATGGAAGCTCAATTAAGCACTTTACAAAGAGAAAGAGATAGATTAATTGTAGAGAGAGATGCTTTAAAAGAACAAATGAGGAATTAAAATGTACACAATTGCAAGCAGCAGAAAATATAGCAAAACCTAGCACTGATAGTACTGTGACAAATACAGAAATGATTCCTCTTGAAATAAAAGAGGAGCTATTGTGTTTAAAACATGAAAATAAAATGTTGAAACTTAAACAAATGGGAAATGAGGACAAATTACCAACAGTTCAAGCACTATTAGAAGATTCAGAAGAAAGATTAAATACACTTAGAGGTAAAAATCGCAAAGCTAATCAAAGAATAATTGAATTAGAAAATAGATTGGAAGAAGCACTGGGAAATCAATCAAGTGGAGATAATAAAACTGATAATATTAATTTAGGACAAAAAATAACACAATTGCAAGATGAAGTGAGAAAAATACAATCAGAAAAAGAACGTTTAATTTTACAAATTGAAGAACGAGAAAATGCACTACAAACTCAAAAACAAAAAGTTTTTGCACTTCAAGAAAAATTAACACGTCGAGAATACGATAATGCTGCACTTGAGGAACGTTATAAAAAATATGTTGAAAAAGCAAAAAAGTGTTATAAAAAGTTTAGATCCTAAACAAAATAATTCATCTCCTAATGAAGTAGCTGTTTTAAGAAATCAAATTTTAGAGCAGCGTAAAATTATGGAAGATATGGAACGATCTCTAAAAGAATCAAAATTAATTAAAGAGATGGAAGAAAAATTAATGATATCTGCTTTTTATCGCTTAGGTTTAACTTGTCATAGAGAAGCAATAGATCAACGTCTTGCAGCTTTAAATTCAGGTCAGGGTCAATCTTTTTTAGCAAGACAAAGACAACCATCTGCTAGACGTCATCCACCTTATAATTCTAAATAACAACTAAAAATTATTTATATTCATTGATTTTAATTTGATTAAATTTTAAATTAATGAAGAATAAAAGAGAAAAAAAAGAAATAAAATTAAGGTTTTGTTAAATTTAACATTATATTGTTCTATTATATTATTAGATTCTATTTATTTAAACAATATATATTTCATTGTGCATTATCATTAATAAAACATTTATTAAAAATATATTAAAAATATTTTAATATTTTACAAGCGTATTTTACATTTGTAAATATGTAATTTTTGTGTATATATATATTATTTTGGATTTTTAAAGTATAATAATAAAACAATATATTTATAAAATATTAAAATACAATAATATTTAAGTTTATATTTCTATTTCAAAATTATGCTGATATTAATGTGCCTGATCATATTTATGTAATATATTTATTTAATAAATATTTACTTTATAACGTTTTTGCAAAATAAAAGTTTTGATTAAAAATTTTTGAAAATATAAATATGTTTTATTAATGAAATATTATTAAATATAATGTATGAAATAATATATAATATATTTAGAAAGAGTGATAATGTATGAAACATGTATTTAAAAAAGCCAATGTGTAAATGTTAAAATTAAGCCAAATATTTAATTTATAAATGCAGCAGATTTGATGTACAGGATATTTCAAAAAAAATATCTTAATTATAAATTTTATAAATGTATACATATAAATACATATAATATATAATATACAAATTTATATATTGAATGAAATTAAAAAATAATTATGGATATGCATAACATTTATATTTTTGTTTCATTATATATAAATATACACATATAAATTTATGAATGAAATGAAAATGAATTTATGTGTATGCATAATATTTCTATTTTTTTTTTCACGTTTTTTAACATTATATATATATATTATATTATTTTTAAAAAAAATTATCTTATATACATTGACACATTTTTTTTATATAGAATAAAAGAAGAGCTATAGATTTTTAATACTTGTACATATTTGAATAGCATTAGAATATTTAAAAAAATGTACAAGTATATTTTTGAAATATATACATAAATTTAAATGTAAATGATTAAGAAAAATTGTTTACATATGGTGTTTACATAAATATATAATATTATAGTTTAAGCTTACTTGATATTTATAATTAATCTTAATTAAACTTGTTTTATAATATGATGTATTATTTAAAAATTTGACAAACATATTCTTTGAAGTGCAATTTGTCTTTTATGATGCAATTTGTCTATGTATGTCAATTGTCTGCTATTTTGTATTATTGGTTTCATATTTTGTATTTTTATTATCTTTTGTATATCAGAATAACATCTTTGATAATAAAATATTGCATTAAGAAATTCCCAGAGATTAAATTCAGGCCATAAAACATTACTAAAATAAATACATGTATTTGATATCTGAAATTTATTGAAATATAATTTATAAAGTAATATTATATTAAATAACAAATAAAAAATAATCTTAATTTTTTTAAACTTACTTGCCACATAAGAAAATCACTAAATCTAACTTCTCCAGAAGTACGAATTAATAAATCAGGATTTTTTGAATTATTAGTGTATAAACAATTAGAAACCAGTTCTTCATCAATATCTTCAGAAAGAATATCACCACATTGAACACCTTCAATTACATCCTTAATAGCATGTGTAATTTCATCTCTTGCTAAAATAAATAAATAATTATATAAAAGAAATTAAAAAAATATGAAAATTATTAATATTTACATTATGATATATTTTATTATTATATTAATTTTTTAAAACAAAAGTAATGTTTGATAATTATATTAATATTAATATTAATATTTATATAGATAATATTTATATAGATATTAATATTTATATAGATAAATATACTTACACGTATATGCAAATGCAATATTAAGAAATCCTTTTTTATGTTCTTTAGTAATAATCATAGTTTCTGCTATTAATTCTTGTAGATTTTTAGGTAATAGAGAAAAATTACCAATTATGCGAACACATAATCCATGTTTTTTTATTTTATCCCTGTAATAAAATATTTATTACATAAAATATTATTAAATGAACTGTTTTGTAAATATAATTTTTGGCCTACTTTTCATCTAATAATCTTTGGAATTTTTGTTCTGCAAGATTTAAAAGTCCATTTACTTCTTCTCGTTTTCTTTTAAAATTTTCAATACTAAATGCATAAAATGTTACTTCTTGTATACCAAAATCCATACACCATTGTAAAGTTTCAGCAAATTTATCAAATCTTAAAAATAATCTATATTTAATATAGAATATATGAAAAAAAAAATAAAAAATATATATATTATATAAATTTGTTTTTATTGATATATACCCTTTTGTATGCCCTTCTATTTTTTCTATTCCATTTTTACTTGCATAACGTCTATTACCATCCATTATAAATGCTACATGTTTAGGAATATATCCAGCTTTTAAAATTTTTATAGCCAAACGTAAAAACCAATTTGAAGTATTATCTCTTATCCATGACATTTTAAATATAATAATATAATAATATAATATTTAAAAGAATATCTAATTTATTTTATAATATTAATAATTGAAGTATGTTAAAAAAAATCTTTGCATGTAAAAATTATATTTATATTTATATAATTATATAATACTTATACAATTAAATCCTATATTTTATATAATTTTAATTGTATATTATTTAATATATTTATATTATATATATAATAATTTTTATGATTTTATATTATCAGTTATCACTGATAATATAATATAAATTTTTTATTATTAAATGATATATTATTTAATATAAATTTTTATTGTAATTTTGTTTAATAATAATGTTAAATAATATTATACAACACGTCATGTTTTATGAAAAAATCTATTGTCATTATCTTACTGACACGTCGGCATTTAATTGTGTAAGAATTTTAAAACATATATTTCTTCTATACAAAAATTATTATCATTTATTATATAATATTTTTTATTCTTATAACATATATATTAATTCAATAATTTATATTTATTGATAATTTTTCAAAAATTATGAAAACTTTTAGAAAATTACGTGGTATTGCATATATATATATTATATATACAAGTACTTATATATACACATATCGTTACACATCGATATTTCGAGTTTATTCGAGTTACGTAGCGTCCATCTTGAAGTTTTAGCTTTTGTGAAAAAATGCATATTATGTTTTTATTCTTCTTAAATATATGTAAGTATTTAAATACATATAATAATACTAAATAATGTTATATTTATTAATTCTAATGTTTATTTATAGTAAACACAAGCAGAATTTAATTTTGTAATAGATGAAAATTTTTATTATATTACAAAATAAATGCAAACATTACCATATTATTAAAACATATATGATTAAAATTAAAAAATTAATTTAATATGTTTATATTTTATGATAACATATAAAATTTGAATAGGAAAAGGTAGAAAATTATGTATATAAGAATATTAATATTTTTTTATTAATAATATTTTCATAAAGTTATTGTTTATTATTTTATTTAAATCACTGTAAAATTATAAGATTTCATTATAAATAAATTTCTATTCTTTCTATTCTTTTACAAAAATTACAATTATAATAAATAATTAATATTTATTAATATATGTCAATAACAATTATGATGAACTTTATTTTATATATAACCTGCTTTATGTTACATTTAAATCAAGATTATTTGCTTTTTTCATATTTCTTATAATCACTATTTCTATCACTGCATTTTTAATTTCAAATAAACCGCGTTACATAGTGCAGATGATTCACATATATTTATCGTAATACAAAACTTTAAAGAAAAAAACATATTAAAATAAATTAAAACATATAATAATAATGTTAAAATGAATTATCTAATTTTATTTTTTATTGAAATGTAAAAGAAAAAAAGACAGTCCTTCCTTCTCTTCAAGAAGTTCAAATTAAAATAAAATTATACAGGGTTTTGGGATACAAGTTACGTCCCTGTATAATACGGTACGTTGTGTCGACAATCGGGAAGGGGGGGGGACTACTTTCCGTTGAGGAGGTGAGCGTGCGTGTGCGTCTCGCGGTCGAGACATCGCGAGAGAGAAAATGAAATCTGAAATGGTTACTGCCGCGCTATGACCCTAAAAAGCAAATGTTTCTCTTTGTCTGTGAGTGAATAATAAACGATTGATCAGGCGAAATGGAGGGCAGCGTGATGAAGAACGAGACTGTAATAGCACCAGGTAAAGAATGGGAGCGATAAGCGCCCTTACCATCCGCAACGAAGCGAGGCGTGCGGTTCGTTCCTAAGCAGCGTTCTTTCTTACAGAGCTGTACTTCCTAATTGCCAAATTCTTAGCGGCGGGACCTTGTCGCGAGGCCGCAGATGTAAGTATTTTCGAAGTAAAACTTGTAAAAATTTGTTGTAATATATCATAACGAGAAATGTACGTTCTAGGTGTTGAAGCGTGAATTGGAGCGAGCTAAGGTAAGACGATTGGTGTGAGTTGACGTTTTGCCGGGGTGACACTATACATACCCATCGGCTCCACATGGTTTGCACGTGGTTTCTGCTTGTCAAAACATTAGAATTTCAAGGTCGGCGACCTTGATGTTCGACAAATTGGCACAATCTTATCTCGAGTATGATCGATCGATCAATCGACTTATTTTCATGATTTTTTAATTTTTTCATAGGTTTTGCCGCAAAGACTAGATTGGGAAGGACATGTACATAATCAAACCTTTGAGGAGTTGGTAAGTAAAATTAATATTTTGACGGAAATTTTATTTCGTGTATAAAAATTCATCATATATGACGGAATAAATAGGATATTTCTTGGAATAACATTATAGTAAACTTTGTTTCGTTGCATTGTAAGCTGGTCATCAAATACCAATGTATGAAGTACCCCTAATAGGGTGCTACCCCTTTTCTGTCCCACTCCTCAACCCTTCTCCTTCTTCTCCTCTCTAATTCTATGTTGTCGTTGCACAAGTTTCCCCCACCATAATACTTTCAACCAATAAGAATTAACTTCCGGCCATCTTGTGCGCACTGATCAATGAATATATC